GAAATTCGTCAGCAGGTTTGCAGCGGCGGGGGTTTTTAAAAGTTATATGATAATATAATTTTATTAAAATATGCCAGTTTTATTATTAATGCCAGTAGCATTATTAAAAACATATAAAACAATTAAAATTATTTTATCCAACGGTATTAGGCCTACAATTTTCCTACGAATAAAAACATAAAATAAGTTACTGTTGTTTTTTTTGTTTTTTTTTTCAAAAATGTAACGTAAATGTTTATTGGCTCTTGACTCAAAAACGTAACGGAAAAATTGTAACGCAAATGTGCGATTCACAGGACTGTGCTTCTTTTCAAGAACAGAAGCAAGCTCATGAGGTTTTTTTGCAAAATTCATAGGACGAATTGAATCTTAACCCGGATTCTTTTTTAAAATGCACATATAAAGTTAAATAAATAATAAAAAAGTTATTATATTATTTGTCGAAATAAGGTGTCCTAATGTAAAAAACAAACAGCAAATTACTATGAAGCTGTTTAAAGCTGTTTATGGTGTGTTTATTTAGTTGCACAGGCGAATCGTTCTCGACAGGTCTTTCCCTTTTCCTTTTATGTCAATCATCATTCGCCTATTGGGTCTGATGATGATTGGAGTGTCCAATCGAAATCGATCACCAATTACCTTTTTTTTATATTTACTGTCTTGTGAGTAACACTATAAGCGTAAATATATGTTTTAAGTGTTATAAGACGTATCTTTTATTTACTTTCCGTGTTTTTATTCGTGTGTCGTGACATATGTTCAAAATAATTTCAGCCTAAGAGAAACCTTACACTATTTGCTGATTATGCGATAACTAATAGAGCCCCTTTGGGAAATTTGCTCGAGCTGTCTACATGAGTGCAAATTGTAGCCATGTTTAATAGTCGCTCTCATATATGTGCTTTTTGTAATACTTACACTGAGTTCAAAACGAATTAAAGGTTGTATAGATGGCTTGTTAATGAACTTAAAATGCTATGATTCCTTTTTTATTTTGTGTCAAGGAAAAAATTGCCAAATGGCATCACATAAGGCCTATATTAAATTTTGGAAACTTTGAACTTATATTGTAGCAAAAATATATTTTCATGAAACTGGTTAGAACTTATTTTTGAGACAGAACTTAGCTATACTGTAAGTATAAAGACGTTTCTTGATGCCGATTTCGATATCGAATTACAAATATACAAACTCATATATCTATATAAATAAAAATGAATCCATTTTTTTTTTTTGTATTCCATAATTTGAGAATGAGTGCACTGAATTGGATGATTCTTTTTTTGTTGTGTTCCTTAGTGCCAGGGGAAGGTTTTTATGTAAGAAAATTTATAATTTAATGTTTATTTTTTTACTCACCATATGTAGAAAACTGACCTGATTTTAGATTTTTTTACTATTAAAAAAACCTACACTATCAATATAATGGGTATAATACAATCGAATGTTTCTGTTATTTTTAGGGTCATTGAATATAATTAGTTTGAATAAATTGAATGACCACTAGATGATTAATGATGACTAGTTTTCTCATTGATTCACAGTATAGGTTCGAACTTGGAAAGTCTACCACAATCCCCCACATTATGTTTAATTATTTTGAAAACAGAAAAGCTGTTAACGCTAAACGCTATAAACCTAAAACGCGACAAGATTTTAAGATTACAGTCTATTGACATTTCAATTATTAGCACCAGGGGACCGAGCTTTGCTCGGGTAAAATTATTAGTGTATCTGAGAGCATTCTTTGGTCAATGTAATTTATCCAAACCTTTTGTAGTCTATCTTTTATCTGTTAAATTGTAAATTGTAGTTGATACTTTGATAAACACAGCAATACATATTTAACAGATCTTAAGACCAATTTAACACGTATTTTTAACACAAAGAAAGGCCATGATTAGAAAGAGTATTATAGTGTTTTACCTATGTTTTAAACAACGGAATGTAATAACTCCAATAAAATCGTGGATATAACTGTACTTCTGGCAGGTGATTTCCAACAAATTATTTCCTGAATCATTGGGAATGAACACGGTAACTCCAGCATTATGTACAGTACGTATTTTATGCCATTGGCAGTTTACCCTGGCATTATAAATATCAAGAATAATAAATAACTTTACTCATATTATAATATAGGATAGGATGGATGTAAATCTACTTTCGTATTTGCGAGAAAGATGGCAAAATATAGGTATTTAATGCATGTTTCAAGCGTTTTACAGCTCATATTCAGCAGCATTCATATACAGTGTGTAAATTAAGTTTTGAAACAAATCTGTATTTTTAAAACCGAAATAGATAGAAATATTCTGTTTGTGTAAATAATTGTTAACAAAGGTTCCGCATTTTTTTACATAAAAAAATATTTTTTAACCCCCCTAACAGGGTAGGGGGTAGGGGGTGACTAATCTTTTCAAATAGCAACCCCTATTGAGTGACCCCTCATTTTGAAGGGTTTAACAAAAGAAACACAATGACGCAAATCCGAGTTGAATATCTCACCCCTAGCTAAAATGGGTGCTTTTTTACAAAAATTAAATTTTGGAATACCCGCCATTTAGGCTAGGGTGAAATTTCTACCTCGGGTTTGCGTCATTGTTTTTCTTTTAAGAAACCCTTCAAAATGAGGGGTCACTCAATAGGGGTTGATATTGAAAAAAGTCACCCCCACACCCTTCCCTGTCAAAGGGGTTGAAAAAATATTGTTGATGGAAAAAAATGTGGAACCTATGTTAAAAATCAATTCCACAAACAGAATATTTCTATCTATTTCGGTTTTAAAAATACAGATTCCTTTCCATTATTTGTGAAATTCGTGCTTTTTCACATACAAATCAAATTTTGGAATGCCTGCCATTTTGGCTAGGGTGATATTTCTACCTCGGGTTTGCGTCATTGTTTTTCTTTTAAGAAACCCTTCAAAATGAGTGGTCGCTCAATAGGGGCTGTTATTGAAAAAAGTCACCCCCACACCCTTCCCTGTCAAAGGGGTTGAAAAAATATTGTTGATGGAAAAAAATGTGGAACCTATGTTAACAATCAATTCCACAAACAGAATATTTCTATCTATTTCGGTTTTAAAAATACAGATTTCTTTCCATTATTTGTGAAATTGGTGCTTTTTCACATACAGTAAATCAAATTTTGGAATGCCTGCCATTTTGGCTAGGGGTGAGATATCCACCTCGGGTTTGCTTCATTGTGTTTATTTTGACAAATCCTTCAAAATGAGGGGTCACTCAATACGAGTTGCTATTTGAAAAAAATGAGTCACCCCCTACCTACTACCCTGTTAGGGGGGTTAAAAAATATTTTTGATGTCAAAAATTTCGGAACGTTTGTTAACAATTATAGCCACAAATAGAATATCTCTATCTATTTCGGTTTTAAAAATACAGATTTGTTTCAATACTTAATTTACACACTGTATTTAATATAAATTCGATCGAGCTATGTCTGTCAAGTATTTAGAGTCACTTATTAAACACACAGAAATACACCTCGAGCTTTTATTTTTACCGGTATTTACACATTTTTGGATACGCACGCGAGGATCTATCAAAACCAAACCACTTTCGCAGACCTTACGACACAGCTGACTTGTTCGTATTTCCACTTTCGTTATAATTCACAAAACAGCTGATAAGTGATTTTGTTCAAATATATCTAACACAGTGTTATCACCGAATACCTTTCATAGATTGTAGATCAATAATTCCTCGTATACTTAAGATTTATTTTTCTGGCTACAACTTTTCAAAATACTCAATGATATGATTTTCGAAATTAATGTACGTCTTGAATCTATACTAATTCGACTATGGAGTGGTCTATACGACAACATAAACGGCGTATTACATTTCGTAATTATATCATTGTTACATGACGAGTTGACCAAAAATATAAAATTAACCTTTCGCTATTGTATAGTAACTAATTACGATGATAACTGGTTTCCCATCGAAAATTAAACTTTGAATGTATTTTAAATTATTATGAAGTACTTTCCTGCAAATAAATTAGTGTACACGGATGGTTATTTTAAACATAAAAATGTAGTTTTTACGTTCGTTGGAACAAAATACTATGCTGTCAAGAATAATATACACAGGACCCGGGACCGATTTATTTTTTCGTTTTGAGGTCCCTAGAGGCAAAAAAAACACCATCCGTTCAAATTCATATGTATGAATATATATATTTATATATGTATTTATATATTTATTTATATATTGTATTTATATATTTATATACTGTATTTATATACATATATATATGTGTGTGTGTCCATTAGCACGATAACTCGAGCAAAAATGATCCGATTTTGATGAAATTTGGTATAAACGTGTAAACCTACATTTATTTGAACGAGTTCGCGAACCAGCATGGGAACGGGGGGTTTATGGGGGGTTTTATGGGATAAAAATAGGTTTTTCCCATTTTTGACCCTAAAAACTAAAAAATTTTAAAAAATTTTCCAAACCATTTTGTAGAACTTAAAAAACAAATATCACTGTTCACGTTCGATTATTTTGTATTATTTTATTTCATTAATAATCTATATACCTAATTATTTTGGTAATAGTCAAATTTTCTAACAAACATTTTCAATTTAACATGTACGCATTAATTTGTATACAATAAGTAGTTTCATTCTGTTGTCTCGTGGTACAATATCAACAGAAACGTTTTGGAGTTGTGGTTATAGTAAAATTACCGATAGTTTGTACTCTACTCATGTTAAAATAACAATGGCAATTTATGTAAATTATTAAAAAGTTATTGGATTTTCGCTTTACGTGCTAATTTGTACATCTAACGCGAATGTCTCGACAAACCTTTCACAAAACACCCAGCACATGTAAAACCAAATCGATAAACCCGTAAATCCTAGACTGGATACTAATGGGATACAATAAAGCCCCATTACACAATTCACAGTAGGTTCGGTTTTACAACCGAAAGGACATCCTAATATCTTTCACTTTACTTACCACAACAATATAAATGTTTAATCCACATTGGAGATAACAGACTGTTCCCTTGGCAACACTGCACTCACAGCCTCTTGTACAGTACTGATCTGCTGCCTCCACTCTGGAGCCCCACACATGCGCAAACTCACCCCTCGCCCCTCACCCTCCCCATTGGTGCATCGGTATGCGTATTTTTACTATTTGTATGTTTTCACTTCATTGAATAGGTTCTGTTATTGCTTGGGGATAAACACAAGTAATAGCTGATGTTGACTCAAGATGGAGTGATACTAAAAATATTCCGGTTGTAAATATCTGTGTTTGAGAGAGAACGGTTAAATTATTTCGTAACTGTGACGTGTCTACTATCTACTCCTATCTTACTAGCATACTATCTTACTAGCTGCTTTTGCACGGCTGAACTTTTGAACAGTAAAATAATTGCATCGACTGTGAAATATAACAGAAGAAAGGGGAATCGTCATCGGGTGGTGGAAGTAAACTACCAACTATTGTGTACTTTTGCAGTTTGATCGTGCATCAAAGTAGGCACCCTTTTAACTTTTGGGTTTAGTACTCTGTGTTTATTAGCTCAAAGTTTGTTTTGTTCCGTATTTGAGAATCATCCTCCTCACTAAAAATGTTTGCCATTGTCTGAGTTGGATCCAGTTGAGTACTTGTAATACTGATTATTGCTGTATATCATTTTTCCTACAGTCACCCGACAAAGTTGGCTTCCTTGTACTGTTTATAGTACAGAAAGCTGCTAATTGCTGCATATTTATACTTTGCCGTACGGTTTATACTTTGCCGCACATCAGGATTCCAACGAAACAACACAAAACAGCGTGGTTCTATTTATGCACGTAATCCGTGTACGCTTGGAAATAGGTTGGCAACACTTAAAGATAATAATACTATGAGCAGCTGATTGACTATTATAACTACGATTTAACCTGTCATTTCGTGTTTATAGTTTAGGTATTTCTGAACTTTCTGGACTTTTCATTTAAACGTTTTTAAAACATTCCTTCGATCTTAATAAACAAGAAAATACCTTTAAAGCATTCTTTTAGGCGTGGAAACCACTTCAAATTACAAAAACATACGGAACTATAGTCTCAAAACGCGGAGCACATTTCTTGTCGAGGAAAAATAGCGGAGTGATACAGACCGCGGGTACTACTTTCTCTAGGGCACATATTTGTGTTGCCAGGTGAACCTAAAAACGTGTTGTATAGTGTTTGAAAGACTAATTATTTATATGCTTTATAGTGACTGTAGGAAAAATATAATGTGTAACACGAGTGAAAAAGGCCTTTGCTGCACTCGAGATCATTTCGCATTGCTCTCGTGTGCAGCAAAGTGCCACTTTCACCACTAGTTACACAAATAACTATTGCAAATACTATTCATGAGTTTTCTTTGACCTGCCGACCTTTCAACAATATATGTAGGGGCTATGATAATTAACGGGTTGTTAATTGGCTAATATAGATCAAAGTGGCCACTGCTGACATTACCACTGAACTTAACCACTGGTATATTCATTGGTGCTTCCTGTTCTACAAATTAATAAAATAATTTGCCAATCGTAAACACTTTGAACCAGCAGCCAAACTATTCAGAAGCAGCAATCAATTTGCAGGCTAGGCAGTGTGTCATTACATTGAGCGTTTCATGCTAGTAATGGTCAGTTTGTAGAAATATAGCTGTTTATTTATTTATCTATTCATTCATTACAGAACTTCAAGACCAGTGGTGATATATTGTAGGGTCCCACACCCTTGATGGTGTCAAGTGAATTCAGCTCAGCTCAGCCTCCACCTCCGAGCAGCTAACATAACATGACGAGATTGAGGTGATTGCATTAAGTTCATAATTTGGTGGGGAGATTGCTTGATGACTAGCAGCAGCTCCATTCTAAAAGGTAGAGAGGGCAGTTTCTTGGTAGGATTCACATAACTCCAGAAGGCACGAATATTGGCTTTGATTGAAGAATCAATAGTCTGGATGTATGCTGAGTAGCAATCCCCCGTCATCCTCTTGCATATTGTACGGACACCGCAAAACTGAAGATTAGTTAGATCATCCAGAGTCTGCTTGAAGTGCCTATGTAGTTTCTTTTTCTTGATAATCATCAATTCGACTTCTGGAGAGAACCATATGGGAAAGGAATTTTTACCTATATATTTTGAGGGACAAATATTTCTTATGATTTAGTTTGGAGCAAAATTCAGAAAAATATAATTCAGCGTGCGTGTTGTTATCAAGTTTAGGATAGCTAATGCTCTGTACCCATTCAAAAACAAAATCATATTTTATTAATTAGGAAAGACGGCACTGTAGATGAGATCATCCAGAGGGCAAACAGGGAATCCCATTTCCAAGGCAGGATGTCTCCTGGATCACTGCGAGTCCACTCTCTTAGTATTTAAAAGTTGTTCAAAATATGGTAAAAACACGTTGTCTGACGTTTTTGATAAGTGTCTAAGTTAAGCTTCCTTCCAAGGATCAAATAGCTTGTACAAGATCGGGACCATTAGGTGGAATTAAAACCACGTGGAAAGTAAAGTTACTTTGTCCATCAAGTAAAAATTTAATATCCATATTTTTTGAAAAAAATGCAAACCTGTTCCTAATGTTCGCCTAAATAAAAAGTATTTCCATTTACTCATATTTTCATTCAAATATAAAACATAAAAAAATATGATTTCAAACAGATCTTTGTTTTCACCACGGTCAATAAAATTATGAGATACAGTTGCTATCCATACAATATTTTCTTCACAATTTTGTCTCCTTATGTTATTAAAAAAACAATTCAAAGAAACGTGCATAACTAACACAGCCAACAAAAAATACCAAACTAAAGAATTAGCAATTGATCACAGCATACCAATGGAAAGATGACCCTATTTTTTCTTAAGGTCTACAAAATGGTTTGGAAATAAATAGAAAAATGTTTCGTTTTGAGTGTGATACCCGGTAAACTTCATTTTAACCTATACAACCTCGTTCCCATTGTCCAATCATGCTGTTTTGCGAACCGGTTCGCATTCACGTTAGTATGAAATTTAATCAAAATTGGATAATCTTTACTCGAGTTATCGTGCTAATAGTGTATCACACATACATGGATGGTGTTTTTAGCCTTTTAGACATACAAAAACGAAAAACATCAGTCCCGGATCCAGGTCTTACCTTGAGACCTACGGTAATAGCTTTTTTTCGAAATAAGGGAAATTCACTAATATTCCCTATAATCACTTTTCTATTGGAAAATGTAAAAATAATCAGTACTTGGTTTTTAGGTTGGTATGGTTAATATTAAAAAAAATAATAAATCTAAAGCAACCTGAAATACAGTTTCCTTATATCTAAAGTAGCGGATATAATTCTTGATTTAACGATAACTAATGGTAGGTTGGTGTCAAGATCAATTACTTTAAACGAAGTTCCTTGTAGGGTTCGTGGACGTCATCAATCAGACCATCTTGGCTGATGAACTGATTCACTAATTGATCATCGACGGCCAAGTATTCGCAACGCTATTTAGATAATACACTTCGTAAAGGACGTCAGTTTTATTATTTAAATTTCATATATAACCGTAAAAGTAGTTTAATTGGACAAATTTTACTGAATAATTCAGACAATTATATATTTTATGTGATTCTGTTATGGATTATTTTATTGTCAATGCCAATGAAGTAATATAATAAAGTAAAGAATTATATTACTTCATCTATGGTAATATCCATAATGTACATTTGAAAAACTTCCAGATATCATATAATTATTGGAATTATGATTGAAAATTTGTCGTTGTAAACTATATACATTTTTATAAACTACTAAATGGTATTTTTGATGACTAGCTGGATCTTTGAAAACATGTATTTTAGATTTTACTACAATAGTATTTGAGTAAATGATATATTATATTTGTGTATAGTGACTTTAACATTAATAAGTTTCCTGGCGGGGTTTGTGAGTGTAGGCTCAAAATTTCAGACCACCCCAAAGAAAAAAAAAACATCCACACTCTGGTGACCTTGGGGTCACGGAATATCACAGAATTGTGAAATAATCATTCCTAGAAATATAATACACACCACGGCCACTGAGTCCTTAGCAGTGTGCACGGTGGATCTTGTTGAAAATAATCAGGTATTTTTTATCAAACGTTGCTGTATCTGTATCACCCGTGACTTCACAAACTTAATAGAGCATGTGACTTACGAATCAAAGCTTGCGAAACCGTTTCAACATATATAACGTCCTAACAGTTAATGTTCGCCCAATCGGCTTCTTTTCCCCGATATATCCCGTATTTCTCAAATGTTATATCCACCTGAGGATATACGTTGTGCGTATTTTGTCTGGAAAGTATATCGTGGCGTTTTAGATGAAAGATAGACAAAGATAAGTCGCTGCGCTGATATAAGCGTTCCATTTCGCAAATACTCATCGTAGACCAAAACACGGTACTTACCGTCCAATGGTCCATGGCTAATGATATGGCATAATATACAGCAATGAATGACACCACTCATCTCGTGACATTAACTGACGTACGTATACAATACTTTTAAATAAAAGTTCCGGTTCCTTGTATTAAGGTTTGTAACCGACTATACATTTATCAATAAGATTTTATATCAAGCACTATTCAATCAAGTATTTTCGAGTAAATAGTGTGACGTGTGTTTGTAACGTGTAGGTGTGTGAGTAGCAGACAAGGCTGGGGGAGAGTAGAAATAATCCTTAGCTTAGTACACTGGATTTCCACACTATGTGTTCAAAGCTTACACAAGGAAATTAAATCCTCGGATTTGCGCACTACATTTGCCTCACTGCGTATAATACATTAATAAAGGGGGGGGAATTGTGTACAATCACTACACACTAATAATATTCGGTACATTTTATAATATTATTATTATTGCACGTATACTACACCATTTTTAACGAAAAACTTAAATTAAATAATATGGATCAATTGCTTTACTGTAAAAGGTATAATTATAAAAGAACAATTTTGAGGTTTCCTTGGCACTGTTTGTTAACCCTCCAGATAACACTCCAGATTATACTCCAGATTATACTCCAGGTTATACTCCAGGTTACATTCCAGATTATACTCCAGGTTATACTCCAGGTTATTCTCCAGGTTGTACTCCAGTTTATACTCCAGATTACATTCCAGGTTATACTCCAGGTTATACTCCAGATTACATTCCAGATTATACTCCAGGTTATACTCCAGGTTATTCTCCAGGTTGTACTCCAGGTTATACTCCAGATTACATTCCAGATTATACTCCAGGTTATACTCCAGGTTATTCTCCAGGTTGTACTCCAGGATATACTCCAGATTACATTCCAGGTTATACTCCAGGTTATACTCCAGGTTACACTCCAAATTATACTCCAGATTATACTCCAGGTTATACTCCAGATTACATTCCAGATTATACTCCAGGTTATACTCCAGGTTATTCTCCAGGTTGTACTCCAGGTTATACTCCAGATTACACTCCAGATTATACTCCAGGTTATACTCCAGTTTATAGTCCAGGTTATACTCCAGATTAAACTCCAGTTTATACTCCAGGTTACACTCCAGATTACACTCCAGATTATACTCCAGGTTATACTCCAGGTTACACTCCAGATTACACTCCAGATTGTACTCCAGGTTATACTCCAGGTTATACTCCAGGTTACACTCCAGATTACACTCCAGGTTATACTCCAGGTCACACTCCAGGTTATACTCCAGGTCACACTCCAGGTTACCCACCAGGTTACACTCCTGATTACCCTCCAGGTTACACTCCAGATTACCCTCCAGGTTACATTGCAGGTTACACTCCAGATTACCCTCCAGGTTACATTGCAGGTTACACTCCAGATTACCCTCCAGGTTACACTGCAGGTTACACTCTAGGCTACCCTCCAGGTTACACTCCAGGCTACTCTCCAGATTACCCTCCAGGTTACACTGCAGGTTACACTCTAGGCTACCCTCCAGGTTACACTCCAGGCTAATCTCCAGATTACCCTCCAGGTTACACTGCAGGTTACACTCTAGGCTACCCTCCAGGTTACACTCCAGGCTACTCTCCAGATTACCCTCCAGGTTACACTCCAGGTTACACTGCAGGTTACACTCTAGGCTACCCTCCAGGTTACACTCTAGGCTATCCTCCAGGTTACCCTCCAGGCTACACTCCAGGTTACACTCCAGGTTACACTGCAGGTTACACTCTAGGCTACCCTCCAGGTTACACTCTAGGCTACCCTCCAGGTTACACTCCAGGCTACACTCCAGATTACCCTCCAGGTTACACTGCAGGTTACACTCCAGGCTACTCTCCAGGTTACACTCCTAGTTACACTCCAGATTACCCTCCAGGTTACACTCCAGATTACCCTCCAGGTTACACTGCATATTACCCTCCAGGTTACATTGCAGGTTACACTGCATATTACCCTCCAGGTTACACTCTAGGCTACCCTCCAGGTTATACTCCAGGTTACACTCCAGGTCACACTCCAGGCTACCCACCAGGTTACACTGGAGGTTACCGGGGAAATATTTTACATAAACGACCAGATTATTTTATTTATTTTATCAGTTATTTGTTCTTGTTCTAAATTTGCCTTCCCTTTCCCCTCAATAATTTTTTTATTTGCCAATTACGTGTACAAGTGTTTCTTTACTATTTAAATTCATTATAAATCAGCTGTTGTGTTTAACTATCTATAAATATAGGCGCGAGCTAATAATTGTACTGTGTTTTTAACATATTGCGTGATTATCCGCTCGATAAGTATAACCTTAAACCTCTAAATTTTCATCTGTCATGTAGGTTTGCTATAATCCGTTTGCTTTTATATTTATCTTTAAACAATTTTATTTGATATAAGTCTTACTTATAATAGAGCGTAAGAAAGCTTCACACATGAATCTTGAGCACGCACAGGGAAATACCACTTCCGATACTTGTAATGAAATATTTCATTGACCAAAGATCTAACGGTGACGCAAATTTTAGCTCAAAATAACAACCGAGTAAAAATGGCAGTCGTTCATAGGTTTAAAATGGCAGATTCATGAAATCTTTGAACGGCTGCCATTTTTGACTCGGTAGTCTTTTTGTGTTTACATTTGTGGCATTGTATTCTACTAATAAATACCTTCATTTGATGTACATATCAACCTATGCTTACATTTAAAATATTCTCCTGACTCCTAGCGGGCCTGAGGAAGTGGCGGATCACTGAATGTGTGATCGATTTTTATAACCAGTAACTTTGTACAAAACTTTGTAGGTCTATTTCAAATATAAAGAAAAAATTTAATCGGTCCGGGACTTTTGGTACATACTGTATAGTGTATAGTTCTTTTGTATGGTTCAGAGATATGGACGCTAACAAAAAAGATCTATAAGAAGTTAATAGCGTTCTAAAATAAAATGTTTAGAATGATATATAGTCCAATATCCGTAAACGGGGGGGAGCGAGCTGGTCTAGTGGTTAGATCGCGGGACTTCAGTCCCTGGGGTCTCTGGTTCAAATCCCCCCAAATCACCAATGGATTTTATCTATGTGATATTGCCGCAACCCCTAGGTCTAGCCTGAAGTAATGTGAAAAACAATCCCAGACTCGTGCCTAGCGTTTTAGGATAAAAAAAAGTAAACGGGAGAAAAATAGAGAAGTCAGTAACTTCTCGCAAAGAAAACTTTGTAATGAAATGTGGTAAAAGTGTTTGGAGTAACAGAGAATGTTGCAGCCATGAAGATGTGTGGCAAAATTAATCCGTATGAAACCAAACCTGTCAAACCGTGACGTAAGTTGAGCTTGAAGGGTCTGGTTGACGTCATCAATTAAAGTGGGGTAACGACGTAGTTAGTTAAGGTCATTGTCAATGTCTTTGATATCTAAAACTCGTCTATGCCATTATAATCACACACACACACACACGTCACATGCAATCGCCCTGGCAACAAGGCCGACATTTTGCGGGACCCGGAACACGTCCCGCTTCTACAGGGTAGGAAAACTCTAATTTTATTCCTCATGCGGGTCGACCACATAGACCGAAAGAAAAAATCTCCCTTACAAATATCTTTCTCCTGTAACCTAGCAGAAGCTAATAGATCTTCAGTCTTGTTATCTCCAAATGAAAATGTCTTTCCATGTGCCGTATTCTGAAACAGGTTTTCGAAAAGAGGAAATCTCAAATGATGACTTGCATGATAATATGGAATTAATGAAGATATCATAGTTTATTGTAACTATGATAATTGTTCCAGTTCATTATTTTATGAGGGCGTTTTTTTAGAGTACTTGTGACTTGTGGGGGGGGGGTTTACTTGTGGTATAACAGATTAGATCAAAAACCTACTACTAGCGGTGCCTCGTCTAAATTTGGTTATTTTGAGAGATGTCAGTTATTTTCGTCTGAAGGCATTGGACCTGTTTTGTGTGATAGAGATTATTGTTAGTTGTAATTTCCGGTTAGAATAAGTTAGTAAGAGTGGGTTTCTTGTCAGCAGACAGCGTGGGGAAAGAGTTGGTCGTTTTAGTCAACTCCATTCTCCATTTAGTTACAAAACTTACAAATATGTTTGTTTATTGTATGCAAAATATAATAGGTAACACTTAAAACACTTTTCTTACATTTTTCCTTAATCTTTAAGTAAATGTTATTCACAACCTCAAGCCAAATTTCTAAAAACAGAGTCTTTTGGCCTGGAATGTAGTTATGAGTTGTTTTTATTATTATTGTTTTCCCTATTGACCTGTCCAATTCCTGCCTCTGGACTACGGAAGGTAACTACAAGTATTCAAGAAAGTAAACTTTCTCACTACCTTTTGTACCCCACCCCCAGCATTTATTTTGCAAATAAAAGAAGCATTACCGTTGCAGACGAAATCGGAGTGAGCTTTTAATATACTCGATAGCAGAATTTGTAGGCGAATGGAAGATCAAAATATGAACGAAATTGAAACTATATTGAGATCTACCAAAAAGCACTTCATCAAGGAAAAAACAAAAGATGAAGAGAAGGAAACATGCTTGGAAGAAAACATCAAATAATAAAATGTTAATAAGAAATTAAAGTAAACCTTACCATAGCCAAACAGGAACAGAACAAAGATTTAAGTGTTTAATGAAACCAAAAAGTACATTGACAAATAAAATGTATTTTGGACCAATAAATTAAAAAGAGGTGAGGTTTTAACCTAGGGAAGACAGGATGGGGAATGAAGTTGGTTGTTTTTTTGTCAACTCCAACCCTATGTTTTAGTATCAAATGGCCTTTGCTTACTTACAATACTTAAATTATTGTGTTTATTGTATACATAATGGAAATAAGGATCCCTACGACCACCTTTCCCGGTTAATGGGAGTAACCCTAAATAACCATTGATTGGACTACATAGCATCAAACTTGCTATGTAGTCCAAGCATAATTTAATTTATTGGACAATTAAAAGTAAGCTACAGTAAACAATTAACAGATAGTACGTACCAATAATAATGTAAAATAAAGTGGGATTTAAGGTTAGATTTTCTGTTTGGGGTATAAAGGATAGGGAGTTGAATGTTTTAGTCAACTCCATTCCTATCCGGGTAATAATTCAAACTAACCGTTTGCCCTAGTTACAATACTTTGATCATTTTCTTTGTAAGCTACACAATATGATTCCTCAAGAAATGATGGAACGAGTATTCGACGGTTTTTCAAGCGAGTCGAGGAATGTCAACGTGTTCAAGGTCGTCACTTAAATTATGTCGTGTTTAAGAAATGAACAAATGACTTTATCAACTAAAAATGGCATAAGATAACCTTTGTTTTAATGTGGTATTTAGGTGTATAGTGTAAATAGTATTTAATTTGAGTTATTTATAAATTGTGGTGTTCTCATTGCCTCACCCTGTGCCTTAACAGCTGTTAATTGAATCCCGTCCGAAATTTTGTCACAACTATAATAAATGTTTAATTTCCTGAAACAGAAGTCCAAACTGAGCCTCATAACCACAAAAACTTGTGTGTCGCTATCTTGAGAGGAAATGGGCAAAGTTTCATCAAGGGGCAAGTTCAATTTAAATGATATACTGATGTTGATTAGACTATATATGTTGGGCCTAATTTCGAATTGTAAATATGCACGTATAAGACAATGGTGGTTTCTTTATACTTGTATAACGTGGCGTCTATAAGAAAAAATACAAGACATATAATAAATGAGTTAGAGTACCTCGTGAACCCAAAGTCTCTTGTAATACAGAATGTCCGTTAAGTGTTGCATTAGCGTAAAATCCTTCCCGGAACACGTTTGAAGGAGACAAAATCAAAACTGGTAAAGATAATAAATAACTATTTTAACCGAATTGATTAAAAGTAAACTTAATATGGATGCTCGAGACTTACAAGTCCTCGGATCGTGTCAAATTATTATAGTGTGTAAATTAAGTATGGAAACAAATCTGTATTTTTTAAACCAAAATAGATAGAAATATTGGGTTTGTGGCATTGACTGTTAACCAAGGTTCCGCAATTTTTTGCATCAGAAAAAATTTTTCACCCCCTCAGGGGGGGTAGGGGTAGGGGGTAACTTAATTTTTTTAAATAGCAACCCCTATTGAGTGACCTCTCATTTTGAAGGGTTTGTCAAAAGAAATACAATGCCGTAAACCCGAGGTCGATATCTTACCCCTAACCAGAATGGCGGCCATTTTAAATTTCGAGATGGGCAAACGAAATCCAGTGTGGATACCCATAATTTACCTTTTAAATGGGTTACATTGGGTAAGCCGAACTCCAGATACCATTATTAGATTGAAAAGTGGATGTTTTTATCGTATTCAAAATTTTGCCCCAGCCCCCAAAATAGGGTATTTTGGGGGCAGCCCCAAATTTTTAAACGCAACCCCCTATTGAGTGACCCCTCGTTTTGAAGGGTTTGTCAAGACAAAAGCAGTGGCACAAATCTTAGGTCGATATGTCATCCCTAGACGAAATGGCAGGCATTCAACATTTTTAATTGGTGAAATGGGCGCTTTTTTACCCAATCAAGTTTTTGAATGCCTGCCATTTCGTCTAGGGATGACATATCGACCTAAGATTTGTGCCACTGCTTTTGTCTTGACAAACCCTTCAAAACGAGGAGTCACTCAATAGGGGGTTGCGTTTAAAAATTTGGGGCTGCCCCCAAAATCCCCTATTTTGGGGGCTGGGGCAAAATTTTGAATACGATAAAAACATCCACTTTTCAATCTAATAATGGTATCTGGAGTTCGGCTTACCCAATGTAACCCATTTAAAAGGTAAATTATGGGTATCCACACTGGATTTCGTTTGCCCATCTCGAAATTTAAAATGGCCGCCATTCTGGTTAGGGGTAAGATATCGACCTCGGGTTTACGGCATTGTATTTCTTTTGACAAACCCTTCAAAATGAGAGGTCACTCAATAGGGGTTGCTATTTAAAAAAATTAAGTTACCCCCTACCCCTACCCCCCCTGAGGGGGTGAAAATTTTTTTCTGATGCAAAAAATTGCGGAACCTTGGTTAACAGTCAATGCCACAAACCCAATATTTCTATCTATTTTGGTTTAAAAAATACAGATTTGTTTCCATACTTAATTTACACACTATAGACTATCGCCAATTATTGCTACGTAGGGAGTTCGTGTGACGACGTTAGATCACCCAAACTGACTAGTAAGGATAAAGAAGAAGATAAAGGAGGAGAAGGAGGAAAGTAGGGGAAAAGGAGAAGGAAAAGGATATTTGGGTATGAGGGAGTATGGATAAAGTATAAGATATAAGAGAGTTAAGAAATGAAAGATGAGAGATAATCGATAATTACTATGTTTTGGCTTGAAAAACTATACAAAATAACACATATATTCTAAAATGTTGCCCTATTCATAAGAATAGTTATGATAATCTAATATCTGAGTTATGATAATCTAAGTCCAACAATCTGAAAGCATTTTGATTACATCTACAGTTTGAAATACTACTAGCAATTTGAAGATCTTAATTTATACAATGGAAATAAAACTTAACTAGTGGCTTGTAGGGACAAGGTCTCTAAAACTTTAATCTAAAACCAATTATTGTAATATAGTAAATCAAACGAACAAATAATCAAAATTATCTTTATTTTAGGATTTCCTTAAAATCAGATGTTATGTTAGGTCATAAAGTCAATTCAATATTGGAAGTAGTTTTGGACCACCCTTTCTGAACATCTGAAATAGTATATTACGTTACTAGTCCTGAAAATAAGTGTTTGCCGGACGAGTGTGGTTGTTCCCGTGCGAGACGAAATCGAGTACAGGATTACCATACGAGTCCAGTACACACATTTTGGACGAGTTACGTACGATAGTTTACGCCATACTACTAAATCCCTACATATCCTTATATATTTCCACCAACTAAAGGACTAAAAATCACTAGTCATAACAGAGGTTATGTTTTTGGTTACTCACTGTTACCTAAATACAGTATAATCAGCTGATTGGTGTCCGGTAAAACTCATTGCAGTACAGTAGTACGCAATGAAACCCCATTTGAATAAGCTGGCGGCAAACAGCTGTTTTCTGGACTAAATCCTTGCGTGGGAAGTTCGTCAAAATAATGTAGTGTGGCGTAAAATAATTATACTTCGATGTGCTGGAGGTTTGCCTTATGTTGAATTAAAGACACCTAAAGGCAATTTTTATCAGCAGTTTTTTTATTATATCTGCAAAACTTATATTATATTATCGATGAATCTAAGTTATATTGTTTATCCGAAGTTAGAGGATTAGAGCGACCCTCACTTTCCCACGCGCAAGCATACTCACTCGCCCAGCTAACGTGCTAAAGGTGTTTTTTACCAACAACCCCTGAGTCACTAAATCACATTTTTCATTTTCCTAACTGATGATTTTACATGATTTCTACTCTAATTACTAACTCCAAATATTATTACTTGCAAAATTATTCCAAACACAGTTAAATTGTAACAACTCTAAACTGTTAAGCTAGGTTTAAAAGTAAAGTAAATAAAACAGGACTTTTTCCGATGGACAATCAGTATTGACACCCGATTTATAGCACAGGGCAGATATCCTGGAATTAGACACTGGAGTGCTGCACCACCCTTACATTTCGGTATATTAGGTGGCAGTACTCAGTTATGCCTAAATATCTAACTAAAGTGTGAAGAGCAAGAAAGATAGTGTGAAGTTAGTGTTAAGTAATAAGGGGAAAGAATTGTTTATGATTGATGACTTTAAATTATTAAAAAACCCACTGCAGCAAACCTACAGGCAAAGTGAGTTACCATTTCTCTCATTTGATTTTAACTGAAATTTCTCCTTGAACATGTCGGACGAATTCTCTATTTAAATTATGCCTACAATCATACTACTATCCATAAACAAATACTAACTTTTTGATTGATATGCATTCTTGTCAAATATATCTTAACTTGATTCATTGATTCGATTCTGTAGGGGCGGACCTTGTCCTGTTGCACGTAAGCCACTGATGGACTTTTTGTGCTCCCAACTTGATATGTCGGAGTCCGTCAAACCTGAGTAGATTAATGAACTTCAGCATCCTATCTATGAGCTCCTCCTGAGGAAGGTGTCTGCCCCTTGTCATTGCTCCAAAAGTACTATCCCTTACCTCGTTCAGAGCTGTGCAGTCATAGAGCAGATGGTCTGCAGTCTCCTCTGACTGCCACATTTCCTACATGCAGTATCTCCATTGTGGATCCTCAAGCGATTCAGGTGAAATTTCAGGAAGCCATGGCCAGTGACCATACCTGTGATCTGTGTTGCCCCCTGTCTGTCTAAACGTAGAGCATTGGAGGCGACCGTCTGTCTGGTAAGGAGAGAAGAGGGTGAGCTTACTTATCATATGGTGTTGAAGCCTAATCCATCTTGTCCTGTGTTCCTCCTAAGCCCATGACATGACTGAGTGACATGCATACTCACGAGAGATTCCACAGAAAGGCTGTGGTCTCACGAAGTCTGAGGATGACACAACTTTTACTAGCCTGTCAGCCTATTGTGTCCGCCGGGGCTGTCTACTGCCTAGGTGATGAGTCACCTACCGGATGTATTCATACAATGGTACTCTTTCCTAACAGAATAATAATTTACCACTTTTTAAAATAGATTTGAAATCTACTAAAAAAATTATGAAAAATTATACCAAACTCGACTAGATATTTGAAGATTTCGTCTGATTATGACAAAACAAATCTGGTAGGCCTAACAAGTTTGGTTTTTGGGCGACTCATGATATTTTTTAGAGAGAGGGGGGTGTGAGTTAGTTATTAAAACTGCAATACGTGACCACTGACCAGTGTGTATAGTGAGAGTCAAGGGGTGCACATTGTGTCGTGAGTGCGTGAAATTGGGCCAGTTGCTATGTGTGTTTGGTGCGAGTGTTAAGAACTGCGTTTATTTATGTTTACAGTTAATAATATTATAAGCCAATTTAATTTGTTAGTTTTTTAATCGTTCTGTTATGCCTCCTTCAGAGAAACGGTGTAAGGTTTATCATTCCCAAGCTCGAACTAAGACTTTAAGAAAACATCTTGCAAGGGAACCGATCAGAAACAATTTCAGACCGCTGTAGGTGAATAAAGTATTGTACAGCATTGTATTTTTATTTTTATTATATTGCATTTTAGGCTATATAGAATATTATGTATAGCATTCTAATATTATATTATATTATCTTAGTATAGTATTGAAAATCCAAGGGGGAGCGATGTGGTCTAGTAAAGCGCAGGACTCCGGTTCCTGGGGTCCCGGGTTCAAAACCCGCCAAATCACCAATGAATTTTATCTAAGTGATATTGCCGTAACCCCTAGGTCTAGCCTGAAGTAATGTGAAAAACAATTCCGGACTCGTGCCTAGCGTCCTAGGACAAAAAAAGTATTGAATTTCATCAAACAGGATGTTCCACAAAAGAGGACGCACCACAGATCCTTGGGGAACCTTTCGTGATGTTCTTGCTCACCTTTCTGTTACCAGATCCTTACGGCATGGTTATGTATCGGAAGTAGTCCCTTACCAATCGGTAGATGCTGTTTGGACATCGCCAGAAGAAAGAGAGAGAGATAGAGATGTGTTTGGGCGAAGCCCAGCGGTCCCACAACCACCCCTGGTTTAAGTCAGAGACTTTTTCACCAGGCAGCTTTCCTGAAAAATCTTCGGATTCCTCTTCCAGCTGTCAGCTTCATTCTTTGTCCATCCAGGCAAATTCTGTGCCTAATCAACACCTCTCCCCTCACCTAGTACCCTTTGTACTAGGATCATTGGATTTTCTTTTTTCAATCTTCTTTCTTTATTTCGTCTTTCCTAACATTTTTCCAATTCAAATTCCAGACTGTCTTCCTGCATTTTCAAATTCATGCTTTTTCTTTCCTATCTTTCGACACATTCTGTCAAACTCCTTCGCAGATTCTTTAGTTCTCAAGAAGTTGATCTTCTCCCAAGCCCATGTGTTTTGTCAGAGGAATTCCCTCATGTCGCTTCTTTCTTCTTCGTAGAAAGGGCCCACTCCATCAGTACGTGTTGCGATGTCTCCAGCTCTCCACAATGAGTGCAATGATCATCATCAACGAGGTCGAAACTTTTCAGCTTGGCCTTGAAGTTTCCGTGTCCGCTGATGAGCTGCGTCGTGTAGTGATCTGTTTCCCCATACACTTTATTCTTCCTGAACTTCACATCCAGAACAAACGCAAATGTTTCCCTTCCTTTTGTACTTGATTCCCACCGTCTCTGCCAGTCAACGAGTGTTTCTTCTCTTCGGTCCTCGTACTTTCCTTGATGTCGACACCTTCTTCTTTGTCCCTTCTTCTCTTAATCCTTTCTTCAACCATCAAGTCAAGCGGGATGACCCCGGAAATCACTCGGACAGTTTCATGGGATATCGTTTTGTAGCCTTTGATCACACCCAACAACAGTTTTCTCTGCAGGTTCGTCAACTTAGACTTCTCACCCCGTCCCCTCATTCGTTTACCCCACATCTCACAGCCATACGGCATTATTGGTTCAAGCACACCGATGTACAATCTTCTCAAGTTCTCGCTTCTCATGCCATTGTTCGCCTTGGCCAGTCCTTTTAACTTTCCGAATGCCTTCATAGTCTTGTCGATTACTTGCTCATAATGCCCTGCAAACTTTAACCAACTTCTTACTACGACTCCTAAATACTTCGTCTCATTTGAACACCGGATTGTCACGTCACCCATAATGACACGGATGAATCTTTCAACCAACCTTCCTTTCAGGAGCATCATCACTGTCTTTTCCCTCGAAAAAGTCATCTTCCAGTCTTCGCCCCCACCTAGTGACCTGGACTCCGTTGCCAGCTCTTTGTGTCACGGTTCTCCCTCGGAAGTAGTCTCTTAATTACCAATCGGTAGATGTTGTTTGGACATCGCCATGTTCTCAGAACTCTCAGAATCTCTGGCCACCAGGCGGAGTCCAGGAACAATCCTACTAGGTATTTTTCTTCCGTCTTTTCAACATCTCTTCTCATATCCAGAAATGCGTCTACCGTTCCAACAATTTCCATGAATCCATATTGTACCGTAGTGGATTTGCTATCTTCCCTATCCATCAATTCTTTCATCCTATAACTATTAATCTTTTGCCTAGCTTTCCTACGACAGATAAGAGGGTTGCTAACCTTTAGGGTATTTTTCCTCGCTCTTCAGAGATTTTTGACAATGCCTTGTTTCCACAAGTGATGAAACCTGCCTTATCTCAGCATCTTGTTGTCAAGGGCTGTCCCAGGGGGGGGTCAGGGGGGTCATGACCCCCCCCAAAATATTTTTTATATATATAAACTATTATACCAGGGGAACTTTAATAATTTTTATTGCAAATCGTTCTGCTAAATTGAAATTCATTGTAGTATTTACACTTGTGGCGAATGAAAGGACTAATTACAAACTCTGACCTAAAACTCATCGTTTGAGTCTGACTGTTTTTTTTACGTTATGAAAAGTAGGGAAGATCGGCAGACGACGGACGCTTTCAGCCATATTCAGCAACGGCAGTGTCCGATGCTGACATTCGACGTTCGGCCGCATTCTTCTTCTTATTTAATTTTTCGGCATTTAATGTTATCATTCATTTTAACCTAGATGATTGAAAATTTTAATTGGGTTTGGGTATTGGATAAAGAAAAGAAGTTGTATCAATAGTCAAAGCTTGAAAGGTAGTTGAATATTAATTTATCTGAGTTGAGCGTTAGGAATCTGTAATTACAGTAATGTAATTCAATGATTACTGTAGAAAAATTTCAATATTAAATAGTATTCATATTTAGAGCACCTGATATCATATTTAAGAATACCACAACCCAATTGGCATGTTGCTAGCCATAAAACAACAACAAAATGGTAGTGTCTCAGATTTAGATGTGGAAGGGACAGATTTAATTCCCAAGCACAACCACAAAGTCGTTGCACAAAAACTTTATTCTCACGTTGACCCCTTGTAAAATGCCACTGGCACTGGCGTAGAAAAAATTAGAACACTGAGAACCAATTCTCCAGGCGGTAGCAGTGACGGGACGCCGACGGCAACGTTAAAGTTGGGTAGTGTACTTTGTGTAGGTTAACTGTTGCTTACTGGGCAGGTATAATGCAGTCGTTTTGGGTCCAAGTTCTTAAACACTTCTTAAATAAAATAAGTTCTCTGGTTCAAAATCTTGGTCTGATTTTGGACATTTTCCGTTTAGCATGCACATTGGCACCAGTTGAAAGCATGGTGGAACGAAAATACATCCACCATGAGTTGAAAGGGTGTTTTCGTAAATCAATAATGCTTGAATGTGTTGTAATGTTGCGGTATTCCTTTGATATTAAAACCCCAAGTCTCAATAATGCAAAAACATGGCATTATACAAGTTTATTTTTAGACATTTCTTTGACCTTTAAATAAACTGGGAAGCTTGAACACATTAAACTAGGCCCTCAAAATCGCTTCAAAACCACTCGTTTTAGCACGTTATTTCCAAATTTTTCCCCGGGGGAGGGCCCCCGGACCCCCCTCCTTTGCTGGGGGGTATTCCATACCCCCAGGCCCCCCGGTGACCCCCCCCCAAAATATATGTCTAGGACCGCCCTTGCTTGTTGTACAGGTTCAACAGCGTCCCCTTGATCCTTCCAAACATCCTGTTAACTACAACAAATGGTTAATTTACCTCTGTCAATATCCTACGGTCCTTGCGTAGTTTGTCACTACTGCAGTTTCGTGCTCGTGGAGCACAGTTCAAGTGAATATCACAAAAGTTAAAACATTTTCCTCGCCTGAAGGTCGTCATTTTTTTTTAAACACTGAAAACACATACGCACGAACGGTACGAAAAAACATTTACGAACTTGGCCAATACATTAAAAGGTTACACACGGGGTTCGGCACCGGTAGAAGACAAGTCATGACTGACGTGTGCTGTAGTCTGTAGCCCCTCCATCCTCACTTCTCTTATCAGAACCTTTTCTTTGGTCATGTCCCAAGTAGCAAAAATCTTTGACAAATCGTTGGCCCAACGTTTCTGTCGATCGTTGGCCAACGGTATGTTTTGGCACTTGGTCTTACGGTTGGCCAACCAACCAATTTTTGCTGAAGGGCCAACCATCACATTGGGCATAAACATAAAAAACACAAAATAATAAAGATTTAGTATGAAAAGCATAATTATGAGTTGAGTAAAT